CTGCATGAGCAGTTCTGAAAGGCTTTCTTTTCTTCTTCTCATTCTTCTCCCTTTCCCCAACCCTCCCCCTTTCCCTCTCCCACTGCTCTGGGGTGCCGCTTCAGCCTTTTCATAACTATTTTAATATCTCTCGGTAATCACAGCCAGCATGCAGTGAATTCAGGGTAAATTCTGACTCTTCCTGCTTAACCAGACTACTTTACCCTACTGAAATCAGCCTATACAAACACAGCTAAGAGTTAGATCTGCTGACTCTCCAGAAGAATTTTGGGGGTGGGGGAGGTCTGTGGAAAAACACGTCTTCGCCCAAATTACTTTCCTCGCAAGCTGTTTGGATGCCTGTCGCTCTTCACACTGAAATCTGTTGAATTTCTTAAAAGGGAAACTTTAAAAAAAGAACTCTAATAAAAGCCTACTAACGTCTCTCTGCTCTCGACACCAGCTCACCCAGAATGGCTGTGCAGGCTTATTTACAATTACACGGGCATTCTGGCACTCTGTAACAGCTAGACTAACTTTGGCTGCTAAACCTGATTCAGGTTCCTGTTGCTGTAGAAGTAGGGAGCTGCACTTTCTGAAAATCCTGCAGTAGGTTCAAATTCTGCCCTCTGTGTCATACTGGCAAGTGACAATGACTTCAGTGAGAATGGCACAGTTGCACCATCGGCAGCATTTGGTCTCTAGCCATTGGTGGAGCTGTAGTGTTTGATCATTTTTATAGTAACACAGAGTGTGCAGGGCACTCTGGGATTGGCCTATGTTTTGAGTTCCCAACACATTGCAGTCTGGGAAGGGAAGGGAGTTGTGACCAGTGTTCCCTGGAAGCTGGGACTTGTGTGGCTGCTCAGGAGAAATTCAAATGCCGCCCAGCCGATTAGTTTTCACAGCTACATTTTGTTTCTACTGTGGTACACAGTCACACATGCCTCAGTTCATATAAAATTATTCCACACATGAATGGGGGAAAAAATCCAAACACAGATGGAAAAGATAAAGTGCACGTAGGTTGTGATTCCTTAGTCAGAAGCCTGTGATGCAAAGAATACCCTACTGCACCTTCAAGGGTGCACAGGCTAAAAACTTGAATGGAAATCATTTCGGCCAAACACAAAGGGCTGTGAGATCACAGTAGATAGGACAGTCAGGAGCCTGTGTTATTCTGCTGTTTTAAGTCCCCACTAATAGTATATTGACATCTGGAATCTTAAACACCATCTTTGGAGTAATTTTTATTTTTGTGCTTTTGTTTGAAATGTGAAAAAGGCTTTTCCAAGTGGAAGTTGTTTTGAGTGATCCTGCTGGCACCTCTGTGATGAGTGTGACATTTTGTCTGTACTCCTGTTCCTGTTCCTTCTGTCTCTGACCGATTTCTGTGTGCTCTAGCCTTTGTCTCTGCACTGCCTGCTGTCTGCTACAGCTTCCCTGTATCCCTCTGCCTCACTGTCTGTCTCCTCACATATCTGAGCAGCAAACACCCTTCTCCATTGTCTAATTCCTCCCTCTTATTTATCAGTTAACATGCTGCCTCTATATGTGACTTCCTGAGGCCAGCCCAGGCTGCAGGTGGTATAGAAATTGCTGCTAAAATTAAGTTGTTTCATATTTAAGGGGCACTGTGCTACCAGGCTGTGTAAGCTGGCATCATATCTGAGAGAAAGGAACAGAAAACCAGCCTGACTCAGTACGGCTTGTGATTGCCATAAGTATTTCACGGTCACATGGGCCCCACTGTGTTTTGTATGGTGAGAATTTTAGGGAGGGCACGGAGCAGGCATGGTCTCTTTCCTGTTCTTGTAGGGCCCCTCACTGCCCAAGAAGCTGGTGCTGGCCAGCACTCATGGTTTTACCACAGTAATGATGTGTTCAGAGGAGAGCTCTCAGTGCCTCTCGTTTCATTTTCTTTGGCTTGGTGCTTCTCTTGTTCTTGTCCTTGTTTGTCATTCTGCAATTATTTGGCAGTTAGCAGTAATTATATGTTGCTTTCCAGCTAAAAAGTGTGTTGCCCTGAGATGAGTACCCTCTTTGCGCACACAGGGAAACTTAGGTACGAAGAAGGCTGTGACTGGGTAGAAGAAGCAATGTGGTCTAGTTGGATAGGACACCACACCCAGATTCTGTCCCAGTGTGGAGACTGATTTGCCATGCAGCCTGGCTTAGGTCACTTCACTTTCCAGCTCCGTGCTTGTTTCTTATCCTACCCTCCGTGTAGACTTCAAGCCCGTTGGAGTAGGAGCCAGCTCTCGCTGTGTTTGTACAGTGCCTAGAACAACGGGGCTCATATCTCATCAACCGAATAGACATAAATAAGAGCATTGGTCAGTAGCAGAACTGGAATTAGCACTTGGGACTTCTTGGCTTGAATGCTTACATTACAACAGGTGGGGCAGGCATTTGTTGTGCATTGTTTTTTAAATGGCACCCAGGGAATTTCAGCATTCCCAGAATGGCTACCGAGGGCAGAGGCTTGCTCTATAACTCTTTGGGTGGGCCTCTGCAGGCTGACAGGCAAGGACATTTGCTTAGCTTACAAAAATCCCTAGAGCTAGTTGTGCAGGCAGCTATCCCTGTGATCTCAGGGGAGGAGGAAGGGGGACTGGAAGGGTCTTCCTCAGGGAAGAAGCCCTGCTTTAGAATTGAGTTGTATCATTAATACCATGCTGTGAGGGGGAATGATGATACAGGGGCTGTTAGTGCCCGGTACCAAAGGGCTCTTTGATCTAACAGACAAAGGTAGAACAAGAATCAGTGGCTGGAAGCTGCAGCCAGACAAATTCTCATTAGAAATTAGGTAGCGGTTTTTACCAATGAGGTGGTGGTGGGGTGTTAACCACTGGCACAAAGAGCTGAGAGAAATGGGGGTTTCTCCGTGTGTCAGTGGCCTCAATCTATAACCTTGGCCCTGTCCCAGCGCCCAAGCCTGAAGGGATGCTGGAGATTTGGCTCAAGTGTGTATGTGGGGGCTCTAACTAGGGCTGTAAAAGCTTAACTGATTATCCAGTCAGCATTAGGCTGACTGGAATGCTGACTGGGTAATGGGTTTAATGCCCAACTGGGCCAGACTGGAGCAGCGCTGTCTGCATGGGACTGGCCTTGTGGGGGCGACAGGCAGGACCCTGCCTGTGCTGGATAAGGATGTGAACAACTAGTTGATTAGTCACTTCCTCCCTCCCCCATCTCCTGCCTTGCCTCCTCTATTCGTAAAAGGCCGGAACGGGGTGGCAGCACCTCATGGAGCCCGGGGCCAGCTGGGGACTCCATGCAGTGCTGCCGCTTTGAAACGCTGTGGGGTGCACAGGGTCGGCGGGGGACTGCTAGAGTCCCGCCCTGGCCCTGGGCTCTCTGCAGTGCTTTTGCCTTGGAAGTGTAGCAACAGCCCTGGGGCTATTGCTACACTTAAAAGGCGGAGGCACCATTGTTGAGGGACTAATTGAATAGTTGATGCAAAATGTATTGACTATTTGATTAATTAACTAATTGAAATTTTACAAATCTAGCGCTGGAGCGGGGCAGGTGGGGCCCCAGTTGCTCTGACTCAGCCTGGGTGGGCAGGAACCCGGCCTGGCTGTGGTCCACCAGCAGTTAACCGGTTAACTGGTATACTTTTAATCATTTAACCAGTTAATTATGTTCGTGGTTATTTACATCCCTAACTCTAATGTTCAACTACTGTACGAGGAGCCAGTTGGGAGAAATTCTAGCAGTGTGGTGCTGCTGCGAACATGGCGTGTAACCCAAAGGTGACACTGGTAGCTGTCAGCTTCTGAAGTGTATGCACACCCACCCTCACCACGCTGATTAAAACACAAAGCAGCTTTTACCTGCCCAGCAAATACTGCTACTGTCTTGGGGATGAGAAACTGACCAGACTTTCCTGAGGTGGGTTTGACTCCTCATGGGGCTACACACTCCTGACACGGAATATGGTAAGCACACAGTGCAGTGTAACTGCTGAGCTGTGTTGTGCAAACAGATCCTGAGCCTGAGGATTTCTCAATCTCAAGGCTCAAGCCTGCACAAGTTCAGAATGGGATGTGTGCCCTACAGCTGGACTGCAAGTACTATAGAAACATGAGTCACCTCACCCTCTGTGAGGCCAGTAATTGCCATTATCCCCTTCTTGCAGGCTGGGGACAAAGACAGAGCAAGATTGTGACGTGCTTTTGGCATGGATTCTCTCTGTGACTAGAGCTGGGAAGGCATTCAGAAGTTCCTAGTGTCCAGATAATAATTCAGGCCTTTAATCTGCATGGCTCTGGGTGGCACTAAATATGGGCTTAAAAGTTCCCAGAATATTTCTTGTTGCTTAGGGTTTCAGCCTTGTGGATCACGGGATTCCCAGGTGGAGGAAAACAGTTATCGGAGCCCTGCTCAAGGCTGCTCCAGCTGAATTTAAGCCCTGCATGACATGTTCTTCCACTGGCAAAATTATTATTATATGATAGTAGCTGCTAGCAGCCCCCTGCAGCCAGTGTCCTGTGGTGCTCAATGCTGTGCAAACACACAGTAAGAGCCAGTCCCTGCCCTGCCTGACCAGACGACACAGAAGAGAAGGGAGAACATGTCTTGCTTGCTCTCGTGAAAGCATCAAGGGACAGATTTTCAAGGGAGTAATTGTTCAAAAGTGCTTCCATGCAGGCACCAAAATAAATTAGCTAGGAGATGGTCAAAGGAGCTTGTTAGGTGCTCAGTGCTTTTGCAGATCTGGCTCCTCCCCATGCATCTATCTGGGCGTGAGCCCACTTGTGGCTTTGGCTCCAAGTGCTGAAAAGTGGGTCTTGGGTAGTTAGGAATGGGAGAGGGGCCCATCAGAAGGGCGAGGGGGATAATCCCGTTGCTGAGCAGTTCCCTGTTCTAACTCTGCCCCCACCTCCCTACTTTATTCTCCTCAGGTGGTATTGCTGGTGGCATTGAGATATGCATTACATTCCCTACGGAGTATGTCAAGACTCAGCTACAGCTGGATGAGAAAGCTGCTGAGCAGTTCCCTGTTCTAACTCTGCCCCCACCTCCCTACTTTATTCTCCTCAGGTGGTATTGCTGGTGGCATTGAGATATGCATTACATTCCCTACGGAGTATGTCAAGACTCAGCTACAGCTGGATGAGAAAGCTAACCCGCCCCGGTACAAAGGCATCGGTAAGTCTGCAGCCTGGCAGCCGTGTGCACGGAGGGGCTGGAGTAGGGATCAAACAAGGGGCTTTTTGGATAGAATTATAGAATCACAGAATACTAGGACTGCAAGGGACCTCAGGAGGTCATCAAGTCCAGTCCCCTGCCCTCATGGCAGGACCAAATACTGTCTAGACCCGT